GCCCGCAACCCAGGTATATGCCCTTGACCGGAATCGAACCTGGGACCTCTCAGTCCGCAGGCCGACGCTCTATCCACTGAGCGAAACCGGTTTCGGCGGAACTGAATTATTTAAACAATAAAAATAATTTCAGTTTAGCCTTAGATCCAGCTCTAATTCCAAACAGTTGCTGCAAATAAAATTCCCAAAACAGACCTTTACATTTTGGGGGAGTTTTAAACTGTATGATTTTTTAAAGAAGATCCAAAGATGTCAGAAAGACACAAACAGATGCGGCTCCATTTTTAACACATAAATAATAAGACCACTGAGCTTTCAAAAATTTCTTAGCAAATTTCATATTCTTCAAAAATTTCTGTATATTTATATTTTGGTTCTATATTATCTTTGACTTGTTTCTTTCTTCTGATCCATAATTTCTTCTTTCGCCAGTGGCTCTTCCCACTCCCTGCTTTTCCCTCATTTTCTCTGGACCAGTGGTTCTCAACCTTCTGGCCCTTTAAATACAGTTCCTCATGTTGTGACCCAACCATAAAATTATTTTCGTTGCTACTTCATCACTGTAATGTTGCTACCTTTATGAATCGTAATGTAAATATCTGATATGCAGGATGGTCTTAGGTGACCCCTGTGAAAGGGCTGTTTGACCCCCAAAGGGGTCGCGACCCACAGGCTGAGAACCGCTGCTCTGGACTCGAGCGGTGCATGGCTTACCTTGCGATTCTTCCTTCTTCTAAACACACACCTTCAGAAGCCGGGCCTGCTCTGGTTCCCAGGTGCACCCAGCTTTCTTGCTTATTAGAGAAAAACAAATGAGACTGACATGTGGATTTCCACGGCAGCTGGTTAAAGGCTCGTTCAAACCGAAACATCGCAGTGACCAGTCGGCGTCTAAGACTTCCGGCGCCGGAGTCACTGCGGTCCCGGAGCACGGTGAGAGCAAGGAGCTCGGAGGAGTTACCCAGGAGGCACTGGACCTCATGGCTGCAGGTAGGAGGCCAGTGTGAGATGAGGTAGCCTTTATCGCAGACACTGTCCTTGGAGGACAGGTCACTGTTACCGCCTCCTGTTAGAGACTCTGCCCACGGCCTCTGGGCTGGGCACATACTAGTTCACTGTGATGCTCGACACCCTAACATTCCTTATGGTTAAAAATGCCAGCACCAAACGTGGACAGGTCTTACTGTTTGTAAGATCCAGATATGGATGGGATATGAAAGGGAAGGATAGTGATTAACATGTCAGCTGGATATGGGATTGCCAAGGCAGAAGTAGTCTTTTCGCGGAAGAAGTGTCTAGAGACCGGGTTTGAAGAAAGGAGTGTGAGTGTGCCGGGAGGGAGCCCCGCAGGAGCCTGCGGGAGTCAAGGGAGTGAGGCAGAGGTGAAGGGAGAGGGATAGAGTTAGCCAGAAACATCGATGAGAGAGAAACGTCGATCAGCTGCCTCCTGCACAGCCCTTACCGGGGATGTGCCCACAACCAAGGTACATGCTCTTGACCGGAATTGAACCTGGGACCCTTGAGTTCGCAGGCCGACGCTCTATCCACTGAGCCAAATCGGTCAGGGCTAAATGCAAGTTTTTAATGGAATGGCAGGTGGCACCGTAAGAGGAAGCTGGCAATGGTTTTTAAGCATCATGGAAGGTCATTGATGTTGTTATTGATGAAAAATTGGAGACTTAGAGAGAAGTTAATTGACTTACTCAAGGTCATGGAGTCCGTTGGGCTCATTCTGAGCTGCCGGAGGAGAGCAAGGAAAGGGATCGTAGGCTGTAGGTTTTATCAGACAAATCAGGACAGGCGGCTGCAGAGAAGGACAGCAGCCCCTTCTCCAGTCCTGTTGTGGGTGAACTGCAGGGTGTGACACTCATGTCTGACTTGGCTGAGATTTGGCGGCAGAAACACTACAGTCACATACAGAACCGACTGCCACATTGTGAGGTCACCACAGAGATGACACATGCCAGTCGACGTCACCTGAGCACACAGCTCTCTACAGGCCCTCAGTGGGATGTGTCAGAATCCCTAAAATGTCTGGGAAATAAAATAGAACAAAGTTGACTGGGTTTTCTAACTTCAGATTTAGGAAAGGGGGATTGCCAAGTGATGTGGTGGTACTGAGTAAGACTGCAAATAGCTTTTTAAATAGAAAGGAGGGTGCTGGGTGTCACCGCAGCCGGAACAGGAGTGGCTTTCCGAGTTTCATGTAAAACATTGGCTTTTTAGAAAACCCGTCCTCTCAGTACTGGAAGGAGGTGGCGGAGCGGCGGCGGAAGGCGCTCTATGAAGCCCTGAAGGAGAACGAGAAGGTGAGCGCTGAGCAGAACTGGAGCCGTTGTGCATTTTAATATTCCCCTCACTGCTTCGCGCATGTGGCTGGAGCAGTGTAAACGGGCTTGCATTGGGGCCTAAGGAAAGTTTAATGCGGCGGCTGTTAGGATTGTTTTACCCGGAGAAGCCGAAGTGGTGGGCGCCAGCGATGGCCCCTCTGCCCGGACTGTGCAGGTGTGTCCGTCACACGGGGGAGGCCTGCGGGGGGGCGGCGGGAGGCGAGGAAACCCTGAGCTGACCCATCCACAGCTCCACAGAGAGATCGAGCAGAAGGCGAGTGAGATCGCCCGGCTGCAGAGGGAGAACCGGGTGCTGGCGGAGGCGGCGGAGCACGTGCAGCACATGGCGGAGGTCCTCGAGGTGAGTGTCCCCCCAGCCGAGCGAGGACCTGTGGGCTCTGGACTCGGACTCCGGTGCCCTAGCTCCCCACCCGGGACGTGAAGGCTGTGAGTAAGCAGCGCATTGGTGCTGTGGGGTCTTCGCTGTCCTCAGCTATACAGCGGGGTCACTGGCCCTGCTCTGTAGGTTATGAGAACGAGTTACAACAGATGGACGCTGAGCGGTGTCTCCGCTGAGGAAGTAGGAACAGGCTTCTCTCTCACAGCCAACGCGTCTCAGACTATTTACATTTAACGCTCGTGCCAGCGTGGCCGTCCTGTGTTCGTAAGCTGCTCCTTGTGCGCCGGGCAGGGTGCGGCTCATCTGACTGTTTAAAATTGGGAAGGAACCTGTTTGTAAGGATTGGCCTCGTGCCTGTCCCATTACCAGGCTTAGCCTAAAACTCAAGTTTTAAAACTTAATGTTTACAAAAAGGCATCTTGCTAATGGGATGGAAGATTTCCAAGTGAAACCCTTTTTTGTACTGAATTGCTCGCATGTTCGGGCCGCGACAGACTTTAACGTTTGAGTTTCTCACCTGGCGATGCTGTCCTGGCCGTCTTGGCTGCGGAGGGTGGTCCCCGGCGCTCCCCGCCTGAGAGGAGGGCTCGTCCGTTGAAGGGAGCGGGGCAGTCAACCACGTGACGTGGCTGCGGGGTGATGGGGGGGAGCCTGACAGGCCCGGGGGTGAGTGAATTCAGTGGAGACAGCCTGCAGCGACCCCGTTACCACACCGAGGGTCACATAGCGCAGCCAGACCAGGGGCTTGGGTTTTAAAGTTTTTATAACAAACACGCTCATTCTTTAAAAGCGGCTGAAAGGAGACGCGCTGGAGAGCTTCGAGTCACCGGACAGCGAGGGATCTGACTCTGAGGAGGCGGCGGGCGAGGATCCGGAGGCAGAGGCCCCAGTGCGGGCGTGAGTGCCCGGACCGCCGTGTCTTCCCCCGCGGACGCCCGGCCCGGCGTGAGCTGTGCGCAGACTCAGAACAGACATGCCCGTGACCGCCACGACGGTTCTCGGTGGCAGAGCAAAGAGCTGTGACGCAGACGTCCTGTTTGAGCCCTGGGACCCTATTGTGTTAAAATACAACTACTGTATGTTTTAATCTATGGCGTTTTATGTAAATAACATTTTCTCAGATGTCAGACACAACTTGTGTACATGATGAATAAACTTCATTTCCTCGTGAGCATCTGTGTTTCTTGGAAAAACGAAGTCTAAGGAGTAAAATTTGTCTATTTCTCTGGTTTTATATCATTTTCTCTCTACCCCTCTGTTGTCTGGGAGGAAACGAGGAGGAAATGAATTTGTCCCCCTTTAGAGGAAATGGCTGAGGTTTGACTCCCCAGCTGGTTGCCCCCCAGCTCAGGGTCGGACTGTTGATTTCCAGGCCCCTCGACCCCCGCTCCTCCTGGGGGTTTTGGTAAAGGCCGTGAGGAGGTGGTGTCAGGAGCTTCTCGTGTGTCTGTCCCGCCAATGGCGATGGTGACCAGGTGCACGCCCAGTGACGAGATGCAGGAATAGCTGAGGGTTCGGAAACTGCACGTTACATTAGATACAGCACAGAGCATACGTATAGGCTTGGTCAGTGTGGCTCGGATTGAGGTCAGCCTATGAACCAGGAGGTCACAGTTGGATTCCGGGTCAGGGCACGTGCCCGGGTTGCAGGCTCGATCCCCAGTGTGGGGCGTGCAGGAGGCAGCCGATCAATGTTTCTCGTGAATGTTTCCATCTCTATCTCCCTCTCTCTCAAAAATCAATAAAAACAGGTATTTTTTAAAAAGCATGCAATATGGAAGGCATATGAAGTCAGAGCCAGGTGAAATGAATGAGGCGTTTCCCGTAAGTCCGTTCTGCAGGAAGACAAGGACATGGGGCACGGTGTGCGGAGTACACGGCCGTGGGACAATGTTCTGAGGCGCACGGCGTCCGTGAGGGGCAGCGGAGCCCTGTCGCACATCGAAGGGTCACTGAGGCAAGGTCTTTGTCGCCTGGAAACTGGGTCGATCGAGAGAAGTTGGACTTTCCTTCAGATGATGAATCTAGTTTTCAGTTAGCTACCAAATGTCGCAAGCAGCGCCGTCTGATGAGCCAGAAGCTCATGTTCTGGCAGCCCGAGAACCACCTCAGCCAGGACACGGCGGCTGGAGGCCGGCACCAAAACAGAAGGGGTGGGGCGCCCGTGTCCAGCACCGTAGTGGGTTTGGCTTTTCTGGGCGCCTTGGCTCAGTATCTAACACCCCGTGAATCCCACCAATGCCCCTGGCATCTTCCCAAAATTCCCATTTTATTACCTTCATCTGCAGGAGGTCATTTTAAAATATATTCTTACTGATTTCAGAGAGAGAGAGAGAAACATCAATGATGAGGCATTCATGGACCGGCTGCCTCCTGCACGCCCTGTACTGGGGATCGAGCCTGCAACCCGGACCTGTGCCCTGACTGGGAATCGAACCCCAGGACCCTTCAGTCCACAGGCTGGCGCTCTATCCACTGAGCCACACCTGCTAGGGCTCAATGGGAGTTTCCAACCACCTGAAAAAGACGCCAGGAGGGACGTGTGGGCTTTGATCATTTATTTCTGTTCCAGGGCCCTCCGGCGGTGCCGACGGCCGGGCCCGGAGGGAGAGGCGTCAGTGCCTGTGGAAACCGATGAGGAAGTAGAGCACCTCAGCGAAGTTCTCGGGCCAGCCCGCCCAGTCCTTCTGCGCCAGCGCCTGCAGTTCGTACTTGAACTGGTAGTGCTCCCTCAGCTCCTCCATGTAGGAAAGGTTGTTGCAGGTCATGACGGACAGGGTGTAGCACGCCCAGAACTTCACCAGGAGGCTGTTGTTGACGTCCGTCTTGCTGGACTCGGGGACCTTCTCAAAAATCGCCATGAGGATGGGGATGAGCTGCAGGAACTTGGCCCTCTTCTGGGTGATGGGGTTCAGGTAGCACCAGCAGGCCACGCTCTGGAGCAGCAGGATCCTCGCCTGGGGGGCTGCCTGGGCGCTCTGCAGCAAGTTCGCCACTTCCTTCATGTGCTCGGCCGCAAACTTCCCGGCCATGGGTCCCCCTGGAAGACAAGCACCTGTGGTTCCAGGAGCACTCAGCAGGCCGGGCGGCCAGGGGCGGGCGGGGCGGCTCAGCTGTGCCCGTTCTTGTTGGCCGGGGAACGCGTGTGTTCGGGAATTGGGCTCTGGGGGTCCCCGCCTGCCGAGGTCCCCGTCCTCAGGCACCCAGGCGGCCTGGGTTCTCGGGCATCGCCCTGGCGGTCTCCTTCCTGCTTCTCCGTCTTCAGTACTTGGGAAATCACCAGCGCGTTCGCCCCAGCCGGGTTGGCTCAGTGGAAAGAGCGTAGGCCTCGGGGCTGCAGGGTCCCGGGTTCGATTCCAGTCCAGGGCATGTACCTAGGTTGCAGGCTCGATTCCCAGCCCTGGTTGGAGCATGTGCAAAGGCAACCCACCAATGTTTCTCTCTGTGTCTCCTCTCTCCCTTCCACTCTCTCTAAAAACCAACGGAGAAATGTCCTCAGGTGAGGATTAAAAAAGAAAAAACACAAGAGCAGTAGAGCAGCAACGAGAACCCAGAAGGCTGAGCTGCACAGCCGGGGCTGGTGGTCGGAGCGGTTTCTCGCCCGCCGCTCTGCCCTTCCCTCCCGCTCCAACCCCCTCCCAGCCCAGCTCTTGCAGGCCTGGGACCAGCGAGGCCATCCTGGCTCTGCCCCCTGCCCCCACCTGGTCCTCCTCCTGACCCCCAGCTCTTCCTCGCTCCAATCTCCAACGCCGAGAAGGGAGGAGCCTGTTAGGGGTGAGGCGTGAGGAGCAGCCTCATCACTGGCTGGTTCCAGCCTGGACTTCCCACCTGACTTCATTTCTCTTACATCCTAAGAATGTTCTCGTCAGTGTTCAAGTTTTAGCTGAGCCCGGCCGGCGTGGCTCAGGGGTTGAGCGGTGACCTATGAACCAGAATGTCACAGTTCCATTCCCAGTCAGGGCACAAGCCTGGGTTGCAGGCTTGATCCCCAGAGTGGGGTGTGCAGGAGGCAGCTGATCAATGATTCTCATCATTGATGTTTCTCTCTCTCTCTCCTGAAATCAATAAAAATACATTGAAAAAAAGAATCCTTTGTACCAAATAAATAAATAAACCCAGATCCTTAAGGAGAAAAATAAACAGTAATGTCTTTGGTGGTACAAAGTCAGAAAACTGATAATTTAGGCAAAGGAAGTGTTGCTGGGGTTTTAAGACGAGCCCTGTGAAGACCCTAACTTAGTGTAACTAGCAACCGGGGTGTGAAACGGGCGTCAGCCCTGGAGGGTCGTACCTGTGAAGGCCAGCAGCCCGATCCTGTAGGCGGCCCGAGCCCTCACCTCGATGGCCAGGGATTTGTTCTTCAAGGTCTGGCCAAGTGCCATGATTTTTTCTTTATGAAACATAGTCTGGCTTTGGGGTATATATTCTTTCTCCTCCTCAACGAAGAAGCCCAGGATATAGACGTTCCAGAACCTGCGGAGGCACTGGCCCAGCCGCACGACACACTGACAAACCCGAGACCCGTCCTGCTCAGAAGGCGCAGGGGCCGTGGCCATGGTGTGGACAGGCCAGGGGCTCCCGGCCCACTGCGCGCCAGTGGCCACAATGGTTCAGAGCTCTGGAACGCATCACCTAGCAACAGTCTCCCGGACGACGGCCTGGGGAGCAGAGGGTGCTGCCTGGGGTTTGGGCTGAGAACACAGATGAAGGATGACGCTTCTTACCCTCCAGGAGCTCAGAGTCTTTTTTCTCCAAGCAGCTTCATAAAATGCCTGAGGAGTGCTGGCCGGTGTGGCTCCGTGGCTGCATGTTGGCCTGTGAACCACGAGTTCACAGCTGGATTCCTGGCTGGGGCACAGGCCCAGGTTTTGGGCTTGATCCCCAGCGGGGGGCGTGCAGGAGGCAGCCAATCCATGATTCTCTCTCATCATTGATGTTTCTGTCTCTCACTCCCATTCCCTTCCTCTCTGAAATCAATAAACATATATTTAAAAGAAAATATCCAAGAAGCAAATATCACTGTCCCTCATTATGGATGAAGGAATGTCAAGATGAGAACAAATTCCAGTGGGGAGTGAGGTGTCGTGTGTATGTGCCGACTCGTGAGGGTGTGTGAAAAATCACAGTGGACTCTGGGCCTGAGACCAGAGATTCAAAAATAGTTTTTATTTGAACGTCCAGGATGGGAACAGTGACGGATACAAATGCCACAAAACAACGCACCCCCTCCACCAAAACAAAATGCAGACGTGAATACAAAAGACCTGGAGTTCGTTGCTCATGCAATATTCAAAATTCTTTTAAAAAACACACACCACAACCAACAAAACACTTGGTCACATTTGGGATTTGAGTTTTCTATAAAAACAAAATCATCTCCACCATTTCACAGGGACTGCAGCTTATGCAGGCTATCCTAACTGTAGACTGTACAAGGAAGTTTTCAAAGGAAGGACATAGGCATATATATAATATTTATAAATATACAAATAGATATATATACACACACACACCGTAACTTCACAGTCCCAAGGACTCTTTGCCGGGAAACCCGGCAGACACTGTTTAAGGTGAACTAAGAGCTGCTGTAAAGGTCTGCTGACGTGCGGATATTTAAAATGACACCTCACTGGCATTTTATACAAACACATCTGGAGTACAGTTCAAGCTACACTCACACCTATTAGATAACTTGGCATATCCCGCCCCGTGTACGCCTAGGAGGAAGCCCCGTTATGTACCAGGAGCTCCTGAGCGGGCATGGACTTTAAGGACTGGGTTTGCTCCCCTGGTGGGAGCGGCGAGGGCTGCTGCTGTTCTATTTGGCCAAGGGGTCCCAGCAGGGGGCAGTCACCCCCCCAGGGGGCAGCCTGCATCCTGACCTCCTGGGGTTGTCACGGAAGCACGGACCCCTAACGTCCCTCCAACTTGCGCGCGCTCGCGCCTCAGGGAGCGCCCAGCTTTTCTGAAGCATGGCTTTGGGTTTGGATTGGTCTTAGCAGCCAAGTACCTTATAGAAAAAGATCATAAAAAATGGCTCTTGTTTGTTCAAAAATAAAAGCAGGCGCAATGCGTGCCTTTGTGTTTAAGGAGTCGGGGGGTGATCTCCTAAGGTCGTCTGCTCCTGGCCACCTCCCCAGCTTCTCACCACCGTGGAAACATGCTTTTGGAATTCTCAGGAGGAAGAGGGACAGGGGGCACAGTGACACGTGACGTGTAAAAACATTACGCTCTTACAACGTGGCGTTCTACCGGTCCCGCAGGCAAACTTTTATTGGGAGCAATTCTTTTTTGTGCTTTTCATTGAAGGTAAAATTAGGTGGCTGGTGGGGGTGGGGGGTAGGGACCCTCAACCCCAAGAACACGACGGACGGAGAGAACTGCAAGCTGTACGACAGTTACCCGAGTCTCACAGGACGGCCTCAAGCTCATAGAACTTCTGGAAAAGTACAAAGATGGCTGTTTTGAAATCCCATACGTGTCAGAGACGGCGGGCTCTGTTGACTCAGCGCTGCCCGTGGTCGGCGATGTGACCGACCTACTACGCGGCACACAGCCCTCTCGGAGCGGGCACAGCTCGCGCTGGGTGCTGGGACCGGGTCGAGTTCGGTCTACACCGCGGGAGGTTTCCGGCTCCATCGCGGCGCCTCCGGGACCCCAGGGCCATCGGTGACGACAGCTGTTGGGTCATTAAAAGGCCGTGGCCACCTCGGTCCCGTGACGGCCTCCGACGTGGGCGCAGTCCCGGGGGAACTTGTCCAGCTGCTCGTAGGCCAGCCGCCCGTCTTCGCCTGGATGGGAACGCAAGAAACGGCACCAGCGTCAGCTCAGCGCTCCGCTGTCACCGTCAGGTAAGGAAAGTCACCTCTCTTGTTAATGATGGTTTCTCTCTTTGGAGCTGAGGCCGGAGCCGGGCAGCGGGCAGGCGGGAGGCAGAGAGGTCTGGGGCACGTGGCGTCCGTGGGTTCACTAAGTAGGTTTATCCCCGCAACGCCCGGGGAACCTGCTGCCGGCGGGGCGCGGCCTCCACGCGGCGAGTCCTGGCCCCTGGAGCGTGCAACGTCCGCACGGCTTTTACCTTTACACGTCTGTGCCGGCGCCTACACGGCCGTTCATACAGTCACATGCAGGCTCCCAAACGCCAGCCAAAAGTGACCATGTGAACATGGTGACGCGCCCACCGCCCACCACGGCCTCAGGCTGTCAGCAGGAGCGCCCTGAACGGCCAACGCGCGTCAATTACTTGGCTATTCTGTTCCATTTGCCCTCATTTAAAAACTTGACCAGCAAGTGGGAAAGTGAGGGCGAGAAGCTTCCGTCCATTTAACACAGACTAAGGACAGAGTCAGCTATGCACGACCTCTGAACCAGGAGGTCAGGGTTCCATTCCTGGTCAGGGCACAGGCCCGGGTGACGGGCTCAATCCCCAGCGAGGGGCGTGTAGGAGGCAGCAGCCCAGACCCCAGCTCCTGCCACGACGGTGTGACTTCCAGGTTTTTACTCTGAAATCCTGCCCAGACTGAGGAGGCATCCCGGAGGCTCCCATCCCTCACCCTCCACATCCAGGGGGTCAGGCCAGGAGCCGGAGAGACGTGGGGACTGAGGGGTCCTCATGCTGGGTGTGTGTGAGGGTGTGTGTGTGTGTACGTGTGTGTATATGTGTGTGCATGTGCACTATGTGTATGAGAGTATATGTGTGTGTGTTGTGAGAGTGTGAGGGTGTGTGAATATTGTGAGCGTGTGTGTGAGCGTGTGTGTGTGAGCAGGCAGCCATGGGGGGGACTTGCTACATGGTGCACAGGGACCCTCCCCTGACAGCTCTGCGTAAGACTCAAAAGCACGCAGCCCGTGCACACTCACCCAGAGACAGGAGGGTTTCGGAGGCCACGTTTCTGATCTCCTCCGTGTCCGACTGGCACAGGGTCACCAGCATCTTGATGCTCTCCGTGGCCTGCAGGGAGGGGCCGTGCACAGCGTGAGCTGACATCTGTCCGGGGCCGGGCTGTCCTACCCAGGCCCCCCCAGCTGCATGTGGGGAGCTGGGTCCCGGCTCCTGGGCGCCACCCCGCGGGCGGGGTGAACTCCCGGAGGGAGCCGGGTCCCCAGCGGCAGGAGCCCTGAGGGCTTCGCTGTATTTTACTGTGGTTTATCGTTTATATTATTAATAGACATTTGAACTGTCTTACGAGCACTGGGACCACAGTGGAGGGCGGCTGGGCTGCCCTCTCGTCCTCCCCTCAGACTGACCAGTCTCGCTGTCTGTGGCTACATCTTGGCGACTGGAAGGTGAGCCCATTGGCGCTGGGGAGTCAGTGCTTTTCATCCCGTGTGGCTCCCAGGAGGCCGCCCCCACTCCCGACCGCTGAAGGCCGAGCTGCCCCGGGAAAGCCGTCACGGGGCCGGGCTGACCCACGGGCACCCTGGGGTGCAGTGCTGCACACAGCGGACGGGGCCCTGCTGGTGTTTTGGACACAACGCACATGAGTGCGGCATCACAGCCTCTCTCCTTGGGGACCAGAGACACTTTTCCAGGACTGAGCCGGAGGGAACAGAGCAGGAGCGTCTGAAACGTCACATTTGTTATGTTGCAAGAAGAGAAAAAAGGACTCCAAGCAACAAACAGGGCAGAGGAGACCAGCAATGCCGCTAACCGGGCCTGCACATGCACACGCACACATGCACACATGCACACGCACGCACACACATGCACACGCGGCTCAGTCCTGCACCACAGACAGACAGATAGACAGACACACCCACACACACACACACACACACACACACACACACACACGGCAGGCAGGAAGCTGTCCCTGCTCAGGGCTCAGCCCCGCAGGCCTCACCTGCAGGCTCTGAAGAGCCAGGCACGCCGCCTTCTGCAGCTGCAGGTCGCGGGCGGTCAGGGCCTCGCAGTAGTAGAGCAGGGCCTGGCGGGAGGAGGGCAGGGAACACCTGGTTTTAGGGGTTCCTCTCCGTTACTGCCTGACACGGACTGCAGCTAAACCATTCACTCTGCGTTGCCTTCTGAGCCAGAAGCCCATGAAAACTCGCGTGGCTAAAAGAGCTGTCTTTTACATTTCCTGCCCACCATGTGGGTCCCGTATGCCGGGCCAGGCCAGCGGCTCTGGGAGGATGAAGCTGGAAGATGCACGGCCATGAGCCCAGCTTTCGGGGGACGTGGGCCCCGCAGAGGCGCTCGGGCTAGTTAGAAGGAACCGTGCTATTTCACAGGAAACCTACAGGGCGCTCACCAGAGGGTATGCTTATGCTTTGAGGGAGGAAGGGAGGGAGAGGGGGGAAGGGAGAGAGAGAAGCATCGATTGGTTGCCTCCTATACGCACCCCAACTGGGAGTCAAACCCGAAACCTTTGGGTGTACAGGATGATGCTCCAACCAACTGAGCCACCGACCAAGATACAAATTCTTGCCTGACCCGTGGCTCAGAGGTTGAGCGCCGACCTATGAACCATGAGGTCACGGTTCAATTCCTGGTCAGGGCACATGCCTGGGTTGTGGGGTGTATAGGAGAAGGTATCCATGATTCTCTCTCATCATT